AAAGGAATTGTTTAAACCCGGACCAAAAAACCAGCAAGGTCAGGACCAAAAAGGACCAACCCAAAGGACCAAGGACCCAAGGACCCCCAAAGGAACAAGGACCAAGACCCCAAAACCAGGAAACCCGCAAGGGCCAAACCAAAAGGGCCCCCAAAAAGGGCCAAAGGGCCTAACCCCGGGGCAGGCCCCCAAAGGGCCCGAACCGCCAAAAAGGAAACCCAAACCAGGGGACAAGGGGGAAAAGGAACCCCGGAAACCCGAAACGAACCCCAAAAACCAAAAAAGGCCCCGGGACCCAAAGGACCAAGGGACAAACCCCCAAAGGGGCCAAAAAGGGCCAACAAGGCCAACAGGACCCAAAACCCCAGGGCCAACAAAGGGCCCAAGGCCCAAGAACCCAGGACCCAAGCAAAGGGCCCCGGGACCCAAGGCCCAAGGGGAAACCCAAACCAAAAACCCCGGGCCAAGAAAGGGCCAGGCCAGGGGGGGAAGAACCCCGGGGAAAGGGGCCAAACCCAAAGGGGGAAAGGGCCCGGCCCCGAACCCAAACCCCCGGGGCCAGGACCAACAAAGGGGCCAAGGCCCAGGAAACCCGAACCAACCAAGGGCCAAGAACCCCCAAAAACCAAGGGGGCCCGGACCCCGGGGCCGGGGGCCAAAAACCAGGACCCCGGGGAAAGGGGGGAAACCCAAAAAACCCCGGGCAAAGCCAACAAAAAGGGGCCCGGACCCCGCAAGGGAAAAACAAGGCCAACCAAAAGGGCCCCAAAAAAGGGACCCAGGGCCAAAAAAGGACCCCCCAACCAAAAAAACCCAAAGGTCCAAAGGGGCCAAAGGGGGAGGACCAAAAAGGACCCGGGGAAGGCCACAAGGGCCCCGGGAAAAACCAGGTCCCCGGACCAAACAAAGGGAAAAAGGTCCAAGGGCCAAGGACCAAGACCCCGGAAAAACCAGGGAAACCCAAAAGGGCCCAGGACAGCAAAGGCCCGGCCCAGAACCCCGGACCCCGGACCCCGCAAGAAACCCGGACCAGGACAAAAGGCCAAGGAAACCAAAGGACCCCGGGGTCCCGGACCAAAATCCCCAAGGGCCAAGGACCAGGACCCAAAGGGCCAAAAAGGGCCCAACAAGGACCAAACCAAAGGGCCCGGGCCAAACCAAAGGACAGCAAGGGCCAAGGGCCAAAACCAGGACAAAGGAAACCCGAGCCCAAACCCCGGAACCCCAAGACCAACAAGGACCCAAAAGCCCGGAAACCCGGACCAAGAACCCCGAAGGGCAGGGGAAGGTCCCCAAAGGCCACAGAACCAAGGCCAAGGGGCAAAACAGGGCCAAGGCCAAAGGGGGAGGGCCAGGGACAAAAACCCGGACACGGAACGGGAACCGGATTTTTCCGGGCCAGGAACCGGAAAATCCCGGGAAGGAAACCCGGACCCCCGGGCCAAACCCGGGAAACCAACAAACCCCGGGAACCCAAGCCCGGGGCCCAAAAAAGGCAGATCCCGGACATTGGAAAAAAAAGGAATTCCCCCCCCGGGCCAAAAAAGGGGACCACGGGCCAACGGAAACCAAAAATCCCGGAACCACGGCCAGGGCCAAAGGGCCAAGGACCAAAAGGGCCCCGGACCCAAAGGGCCAGGACCAAAGGACCAAGGACCAAAGGCCCAAAAAGGAAACCCAAAAAAGGACCAGAAGGGACCCAAAACCCGCAAAAGGGCCAAAAGGGCTTTAACCCAAGGGGCCCAACAAAACCCCGGGGCCCCCGGGCCAAGGGGGCCAAGGAAACCAAAAAGGGGGAAGGAAAACCCGGACCAAGGCAAAGGACCAAAGGGGCCAAAGAAAAGGGCCCCAAGGGCCCCAAAAACCAAAAAGGGCCCAAAAACCAAGGGACCCAAAAAGGACCAAGGAAACCAAAAACCCGGGACCCCAACCCAAAAGGGCCAAAGTCCCCGGGAACCCGGAAACCCGGACCAAGGAAACCCGAACCAAAGGGGGAAGGGCCCAAGCCAAGGGCCCGGGAAAAGGAAACCGGGGGCCAAAGGAAGGCCAAAGGGCCAGGAAACCCGCAAGGAACAGGACCAACAAGGACAGCAAAAACCCAAAAACCCGGACCAAGCAAGGGCCAAGACCAAAACCAAGGGCCCAAAAAGGACCCCGCAAAAAAGGGCCAAAACCGGCCAAAAGGGCCTAAAGGGCCCCAAAAGGCCAGGCGGGGCCCAAACCAACAAAGGAAACCCCCAACCCCGCAAAAACCCAAGGGACCAACAAGGGGCCCGAAACCCAACAAGGGACAAAGACCCCAGGGCCAAAGGGGCCAAAGGGGGAGGGCCAAAAAAGGACCCAAGGGCCAGGCCCAAGGGCCAAAAAAGGACCAAAAACCCCCGGAAACCAAAGGGGGGAAGGGCCCCGGCCCCGGGCAGGCCAAGACCAAGGGCCCAAGGGCCCAAGGGCAGGGAGCCAAACAAAAGGGCCAAAAAGGGCCCCGGGGAAAGGGGCCAAAAACCCAGGAACCCCGGGGCCCAACCAGGACCAAACCAGAAACCCGGGACCAGGACAGAACCAAGACAAGGACCAAAGGGGCCAGAAGGGCCAAGGCCCCGGACCCGGGCCCCGGACCAAGGGGCCAAAGGGAAAAAGGGGGAAGGGACCCAAAAACCAAGGGGGAGGACCAGGGGGCCAAAAAAGGACCAGGGGAAGGAAACCCCCGGGCCCCGGGCCCGGACCAAACCCCGGAAACCCCGGAAACCAAAAAAGGACCCAAAAAAGGACCAAACAGGGCCAAAAACCCGGGCCAGGACCAAAAACCAACCCGAACCAAAAGACCCCAAAACCCCGAACCAGGAACCCCGAAGGGCCCCGCAAAGGAAACCCGAAAAGGACCAGGGGAAGGGCCAGGGGAAAAAGGAAAACCCGGCCCAAAAACCCAGGCCCAAAAACCAGAACCAAGGCCAAAAGCCCAAAACCGGGCCAAAAGGGCAAAAAAAAAAACCAAGGGCCCCAAAGGCCCGGGCCAGGCCCAAGGCCAGGACCAAAAAAGAACCAAGGGCCAAAAGGGCCCAGCAAGGCCAGGACCTTCCAAGAACCCCGGACCCGGGCCAAAACCAAAAACCAAAGGGGCCAAAAAAAGGCCAGGGCCAAGGACAGGAACCCCGGGGCAAAATCCAAAAACCAGGACCAACCCAAGGGAAAACCAAAACAGGAAACCAACAAAAAGGGCCAAAAGGACCAACAAGGACCAGCAAGGACCAGGTCCCAGGGCCCCGGAAAAAGGCCCGGAAACCCCAACAAGGAAACCCAAACCAGGGACCAACAAAAGGCCAAAAAGGGCCCAAAAGGGCCAAAAAGGAACAAAGGGCCAAAAGGTCCAAAGGGGCCAACCCAAAGGGCCAAGGGGCAAGAACCAGGGCCAAGGGCCCCAAAAGGGCCAAAGGGCCCAAAGGCCAAAGGCCCAAACCAGGGGCCCAACAAGGCCAAGGCCCAAAAAGGACCAAAAACCAGGGCCCAGGGGAAAAAGAAAACCGAGACCCGGGGCCCAAAACCAGAACCCCGGGCCAGGGACCAAGGCCAAGGAAAAGGACCCGGGGAAAAGACCCCAAAAACCCGGGCCAGAACCCCGCCAAAGACCAAAACCCCAAAACCAAGGGCAAAGCCAAAACCAAGGCCAAAGGCCCCGGACAGAGACCCAAAAAGGCCCCGGAACCAGGGCCCAGAGACCAGGGCCAGGGAGACCCAGGGGAACCCAAAACCAGAAAAACCCAAACCCAAAACAAACCCCAAAAACCCAGGGCCCAAAAGGGCCCCAAAATAAACCAGAACCAGAGACCAGGGCCCAAGCCAAACCCCAAAAACCCCGGGCCCCAAACCAGCAAAAAATCCAGGAAAACCAAAACCCAAAACCAACAGGAACCCGGCCCAAAGGAACCCGAGACCAAAAAGGCCAAAAGGCCAGCAAAACCAGCCCCCCGGGCCCGGGGGGAGGGACCCCGGGCCAGGGGGGACCAGGGGAAGGCCAAGGGGGAAGGGGCCAAACCCCGGGCCAAAGGAAAAACAAGGAACCCCGCAAGGGACAAAGGGCCCCGGGACCAAAGGCCAAGGCCCAAAGGGGGAGGGCCAGCAAGGGCCCAAAAAGGACCCCGCAAGGAACCCAAAACCCCAAAGGGGCCCAGAACCCAGGGGAAGGCCCCGGGGAAAACCCCAAAGGCCAAAGGACCAGGAACCCCGGGCCAAACCCAAAAACAGAAAAAGGAAACCAAACAGGAAACCCCAAAAACCAAAAAGGCCCAGGCAAAGGGGCCAAGGCCCCAAAAGGGCCCAAGACCAAGGGCCCGGGCCCCGGAAGGACCCAAAAAGGGCCCCGGACCCCGAACCCAAACAAGGAAACCCGGGGAAGGCCCAAGGGCCCCAAAAAGGGGCCAGGACCAGGACAAACAAGGACCCCGGAAGGAAAACCCGCAAAAACCAGGGCCCCGGACCGAGAAAAAGGGGCCAAAACAAGGGCCAGCAAGGGGGGACCCCGAAAAAACCCCGGCCAAGAAACCCGGACCAGGGACCAAGACCCCGGGAAACCAAAGGGCCAAGGGCCAAGGAAAAAAAAAACCAGGACCCCAAAAACCAGCCCGGACCCTTAAAAAAGGACCAAAAAAAAGAAACCCGCAAAGGGGGAAAAGGCCCAGGACCAAAGGCCCCAGGAAACCCAAAAGGCCCGGACCCAAAAAAGGACCAAAACCGGGCCCCCAAGGACCAAAAAAAACCAAAAAAGACCAAAAACCAAAAGGGCCCCCAAACCCGCAAGGACCAAAAAACCCAAAGGGGGAGGA